ATGGAAGGATAAAGTGAACGCCCCAGCACTTTGCCACAAGTACAAGGTCAAGTCGATGCCAGCCCCCTCCCGCTGTGCTTGTCCTCCTCCACCTGATGGTATCCTTTGTCTGCCTGGTCTTTGGCGCCATCCGCGCCGGTCGCATTTTCAACCTCTTCTTCGCGAGTGTACGTCACTAGTCCATACTTGTTCAGCTACGCCGTCGTTCAGCTGTCAGCTGTTCAGCTACGCCGTGCTCTACAACGCATACGGTCAGGCCCTCAGGTGCTGTCACCCCCACGTTCGAGACTGCGCTCTTCGTCACCACCCACTCCGAGCAGTTGCAGTTCCACTTCACGCTCTTCCTCTGGTGAGGCACCCTGCCCCACACCCGCGCCGCCGCGGGCGCGGGCCGAGATCGAGCAGGCCCTCTCGCTAGCCACTACCTGCGCCAAGGATCGGGTCATCATTGGGGATGACAAAAACGCCGATCGGGTCTGGCTTGCGAACGTGCCCGACCTCGCGCGCTACCTTCTCCAGTCGGCCTCAGAGAACCCCGCTTGGAAGCATCGGCCCGACCTGAGTGAGGGAGATGCGTGCACCTGGTCTTGGACCCAAGCTTCCTCAGCACTCCCTGTCTGGCTTCGCGGTCCCTCGCAGTTACCCCGTGCCCGCACTTCCTCTCGCCCGCCAGTTGTCTTCCCGCTCGTGAAGTCGAAGTGATTCTCGGAGGATGGAGGCAGGATCTGTAGCAAGGTTGCCCATAGCTGCTGTAGGAGAGTCATAGACACGGCGGGCGCTCCAGGTACCCTTGGGTTTCGCATCCTTGGTCGCGCAGCTCGGAGTTTCTTTAGCTGGTCAGATTCAGGCCACGAATGCTTTGACATGCGGCACGCTGCAGGGGATAGTATTACCCTTCGTCTTCGCTTGCTTGCTGCTCCCCGCCCATCCTGTCAACGCTGCGGGTGCCCGATGCCAGACATCAGTGTGGTCACGTGTGACGCGGATCAGGCATATGAGCAGCTCGCAAGCAATAACGTCGACTTGGTATATCTTGAACCCCAAATCGCCGAGAACGCCCCCACGGAGGCTTGTCTCGTACGGAAAGGTTACAGGTCTTTCGTTCACCCCTCAAGCAAGTCAGTTCGGATGTCTACTACTGCCGTTCCTCCTAGCTATTGCCGTGTCACCGTATCCGACATCTCTCGGGCCCTACTGGTCTACTGCTGGCTTCCGCTTGTCAGTGTATTTGGGATTCTCTTCGAGCTAAAGGGCCTTCCAATTGGTGGTGCGCTCTCTGGCGTGGCTCTCAGTGCGCCATTGTGTTCGCAGGAGTTTCTGGCCGAAAACGATTCTCACCGGTATGTCCAAGCTGGAATCCCTTGTCGGTCTGATTCTGGTCATTATGATGCCGCTGTGCGTCGGTATGTCGATGATATATTAGGTCTGAGCACGTTTCTCTGTCGTTCATGCACGGCGCTCTTTATGCACTCTACCGATTCCGTAAAGCTCCCCACGGCTCCATCACTCTCGTTCTCTCCAGCTACCTGGTTGGATTTGGAAGTGGTTGCAGTTGGTTCCGTCGTTATCGTGAGTCCGAGAAATGACAATCTGGCTCGGCTCCACGATGCGTCCGCCCCCCGTCGACGTGCTACTGTTCTACCTTATGTCGGTTCTCTTCCTCGTGGTTTCGCTGGCCTTTACAGCCTCTTCGCGAATCGCCTCTCCCGTGCCCGCTCTATGAAGCTCTCCGTGTTCCTGGCTCCCTATTGGCTCCTCGAATTGATCCTCGAGGTGTTCCTGCTTGGCTACCCTCTGCCATTGCTTCGTGCCCTCACCCACCGCTGCCCTTGGAGCCTCGAGGTTCGGGAGGCTCGACGGAGCTTCCGCACCTGGGCCCGTCTCCTCTCGCCAGCGGCGCCTCCAGCCATGGGCCCACCTCGTGGAGGCGGCGGCAAGGGCTTCGGCGACCGCAGAGGCATCGGAGGAGATCGTGGTGGCCGCCGTGATCTGCCTCGTGGTTGGGACGACCGCCGTCCTGCTGGCCGTGGCGGTCGAGATGATCGCGACGACCGCCGTGGCCGCCACAGGGGCCGCCGCCTTCGCCCTGGTCCTTCGACGGAGTCGAGCGAGGAGGAGGCCAAGTCCCGTGCCATCGCGCGCAGCAGACGCTTCCTGGCGAAGGAGGACCCCGAGTTCGCCAACTACCTCGTGGAGCGACGCCAGGCCAAGACGGAGGAGCAGCTGCGGGCCCAGGGGCGGGCCCTCGCGGAGGCCATGAAGTCCACCTTCGACGAGCACATGGCCAAGGTCTGCGGCCGCGGGTTCCCGCCGACCGCGATCCCGACGCCTCCTTCGGCAGGCTCGCCATCGGCAAGCAGTCCTGGTCCAGCTCTGTTCCCGCCACCTGCTCCAGGTGGGCCAGCTGCTGGGGCCCCTACGGACGGCCCCTCACCAGTGGGCAAGGCTTGGCTCCCCGAAGACCCACAAGCTGCGGGCGGCCCGCACGGTGGAGCCCCTGTACGGCCCGATGTGACGACAGACGACAAATACGATTTCAATGGCTGGGTATCTGTGGTCTTGCATCTGCCCCCTCGCCTCTCTTTTCAAGTGGATGGTGCTTGGCATGCCCCACACACCCGTCTATCAGTGCTCTATTCCTTCAGCTCCCCACGCAGTTTCCCACAGTTCCTTGCTGGTACAACATTAGTTTTGCCGTCTCAAGGCTCATGCTCATGGTTTGTATCATGATACTCAGTTTCGCGGTATACGAGTCTCTCATACCTCCACCAGAGGTGGACCTGAATGATGATTGGGATGATCCCTACACCACCAATTCTCTATCCTCGACGAGCGCATCATCATCTGTATTCTCTCTCCCGAGCTCATGGTTAGCCTCCGACACCTTCAGCGGCTTCCTGGAAGTCATCGACGCCTGGTGGACCATCAATATCAAGCGCCGCTCCGAGGCCAAGGCTACTCAGCTCATGTTCGATCTGTTGGGAATGGAGACGTCCATCCATGACAGCAGGAATGATGAGGCCATCTCGAGCTGGATGCGACGGTCCGCGGTGTGGACTGCCGAGCGTATCTTCCGATGAACATGGCGAGGTGCGAGCTGGATGGAGGCTTCTCCACGGTGAGGGATGCAAGGTTGCCAGCCTTCCACCCTGAGATTGGGGTCCTCCTCCTCCTCCTCCTCCTCCTCCTCCTCCCCCTCCCTTCGATAGTATCAGCATCTCTTCCAAACTCCCCCCTCTCCGCTGTCGTGCGCGCCTGCTGCCGCGTAGGCTCGAGCGTGTGGCTGCCCACCGGCGCTCACAGCAGCCACGCGGGCCGCAAGTCGAGCCCCCCATTCGGTGAGAAAAACGAGCGCTGTTCAGCTCCTTTTCACCGCTCTCTAGACCCTCCTCCTCCTCCTCCTCCTCCTCCTCCTCCTCCTCCTCCTCCTCCTCCTCCTCTTCCTTGCGGGAGCTGCACCTGACGGTGCCGCCCGACGAGGCGGGCCGCCCCGGGCAGGTAGGGTAGGGGACGTCGTCGTCGTCGCCGTCGTCGTTGTGCGCTTGCCTCCTTTTCCTCCTCCTCCTCCTCCTCCTCCTCCTCCTCCTCTTCCTGCACGTCTGCCAGCACCGCCTGATCTGCCGATGGAGGTGCGAGGGAGAAGCTGACGATATCAGCCATTGCTTGTGTGGCTGCCGCGGCTCGTGGTGGAGCGATTGCGTCCCCACGCGGGCCTCGACACGCGGCTTTGTGATCCACCGCCTCGGCCTCGGCGACACGGAGGAGCATGACAGCTCGGCGCACGACGAGAACACGGAGAACAACTTGCCAAGGATTGGCAAGGCTGACTACGCCCCACCACACCCACTATCTCCTCTGGCACCGCCCTGAAGGGCGAGCGGCCTCCCGAGCAACCGCGTCGGCGCTGGCCCGCATTGCGGCCCAGCGTGTCAAGCTGCCGCCGCTTGCGCACACCCGACCAACGTCTGAGCGGACCCGTCGGTAGGCACGCTCGCACCCGTCGCCCCTCTCGATGGGCATTCCTCCTCCTCCTGCTCCTCCTCCTCGTCTGCCTCGACGCTTCGGCCGCTCTGGGGACTTGGTGCTTCTGGCCCCCCCCCCCGCCCTTCACCGTTCCCCCCACTCCTCCCCTAATCGCCTTCCTTCCAAGCTCCAGCCACCCTGGGACCCCACACAGCCTGTTCGGGGTGACGGAAAGGACATGCAGACATTTTGGGTTCCTTGCACCAGCAGCCGCACCCTTAGTTGTTCCTGATGCCTCACCGCTCCTCTATCGGTTGTGATGGCTTCCGCCTATCAGCCATGCATTCTTCAGCCAGAGGGCCTCCAAGAGATTCCGAAAACCGCCCTCGCTCCAGAGCTGCTCTCTTCCTCCTCGGACTCCTGCTCACTCTTCAGCACATCAATCCCTTTTCCTTCGTTCCATGCGCAACCCAGCATATTTTGCGCCTCCTCCCCCCCCAATAGGGATGACAAGGGGGCATCTCCTATGTTCTTTGGCCCCTCTTCCTCTTGGAGCCTGCACCCCTCCCTCTCCAGTATCGCTCTCCTCCTCCTCCTCCTCCTCCTCCATCTTTTCCTACCCTGTCGTCGTCGTCCTCCTCCTCCTCCTCCTCTTCCTCCTCCTACAAGAGGCTGCAGCGAGATTGGACTGTGGGTCACCCGCAGCCTTCGATGCCACGAGGACCCTTTCGGGACCAGTCCGAGATAGCCCAGACCCCCCAAAACACTCGCAGACTATCTCCAGCGCTGGAGCCTGGAGCCTGCAGCAAACCCTGGAGCACCCCCCCTGGGGTGTCAGGGGGGTCCTTTTGACAAGCCACAGCACGCACGTCTCTTCTGCCTGGCCTTCGAGCGGCTCTACATCGAAACGCCATCGATCATGGAGCTGAGCGCCCACCCGCTCGCCTACGACCCCGTGGTGCGCCCGTGCCTTGTGACGCCCACTGTGGCCAACGGGAGCAAGCTTCGCCTTGGCCGCCAGCTTTGCCCTGCCATCCATGGGTTTTCCACGGGTTTGCGCTAGTCAGCTACAGCGCGGGGATCAGCTACAGGCGAAGGTGGAGCCCAACGTATTCAGCTACAGCGCTGTGGTTGGCGCGTGCGGGAAGGGCGAGCAGTGGCAGCTGGCTCTGGCGCTGCTGAGCGAGATGTTGCAGGCGAGGCTGGAGACCGACGTCATCAGCTACAGCGCGGGGATCAGTGCGTGCGAGAAAGGAGAGCAGTGGCACCGGGCGCTGGCGCTGCTGAGCGAGATGCGGGAGGCGAAGCTGGAGCCCAACGTCATCTATCTTATAATGCAGCGTTCACCGCTCGCCAAAGTGTCGAGCAGTGGCAGCGGACCGGCCCCCTCCGGCAGCCACCGGCGCGGCCCCGGGGCCCCGGCGCGCCTCCAAGATGGCTGAAGAGCGCCCCGAGCCGCCCCCGTGGGCTCCCAAAAGGGCCCGAAGACGGCCGAAGACGGTCCACGAGGGCCTCCAAGACGAGCCCCGAGCGCTCGAAGACGCCCAAGACAGCCGCCCGACGGCCCAAGAGGCCTCCAAAATGTTCCAAGTGGGCTCCGGAGAGAGTCCCAGGAGAGCCCGAACAAGTAAAAATCCTCCCAATCCCTTTTTGGGAAACGTGGATTTCGGGAGTTCCCGTCGAAGCGTCCAAGACGGCCACAGGCCCTCAAGATCGTCTCAAGACGCTTCAGGAGGCTGCCAGGAGGGGCCCCAGACGGCTCAAGACTGCGCCAGGACGGCTCCTCAGGCGCCCATGGCGGCCCCAAGGTTTTTCCAGGACAGGGTGGGAGCGCTCCCTAGAGTCCCCAAGAGGGGGCCAGGAGGGCCCCAAGATGGCCCCGACAGGCCCCATGACGCGTGCACTTGGGTTCCCCTCTCGAAAGCCCAAGGACATATCAAGCACATGCGGTTTGGGGCCCTCTTGGGGCAACTTGGGGGCGCTCTTGCGGCCCTCTGGAGGCTTTCTGGCCCCTCCACGACAGGGCCGGGCGCATTCTGCCACAGAAAGGCCTCTCGTGGCAAAATGGTGGGCCCGCGCCCGGCGGCGTCCTGGGGCCCTCTTGGAGCCCTCTGGCACGACCCACCCATGGTTCGGCAACCCCCGCCACCAGTGGCAGCAAGCACGGGTACACACTAGTCCCTACTACGATGCAGGGGCCCGCGCGTGCGGGAAAGGCGGGTCACGGGGAAAGTGCAGTCGGCGCCCTGGCGGCCCCTGCGAGCCCAGAGAGCCCCCAAACGGCTCCAAGACGGCTCCAAGACGCTCAAGAGGCCGCCCCCCCCGACGGTCCACAGACGGCTCCGATCCGCTCAAGAGGCCGCCTCGACGGCCCCAGAAGTCCCCAAGGCAGGCCAGGAGGCTCCTAAGACGGCCCTGGAGGACCTCCCAGGAGAGCCCCAGGACGCCAAAATCGCTTCATTCCTTTCGGGAAACGTACATGTTATTCTCGTGTTTTTCGTTTCCGACGTGTCCACGACGGCCATAACGGCCCCCAAGATCGCCCTAAGACCTAAGATGCTCCCATGAGGGCCCCAAGACGGCCCAAGAGGACCCCAGGACGGCTCCTGAGGCGCCCCTGGCGGCCCACGGGGCTCCCAAGACAGCCTCAGCTCCAGAGACGCCGAAGGCTGCCCCAGGCAACCCCCAGACGGTCCCGACAACGCCTCAGACGGCCTCCAGACGGCCCAAGAGGCTTCCGAAACGCTCCAAGTGGTCTCCATGACGAGCCCCAAGGGAGCCCGACCACCGAGAAATCGTTCAATTCCCTCGGGGAAACGTATATGTTGGCAGTTCCCGGGCTTGCCCTCGCCATAGCGTCCAAGACGGCCATACAGGATCCCAAGATGACCCTAGGACGGCTCCTGAGGCGTCCCCTGGCGGCCTACGGGGTGCCCAAGGCATCCTCAAGAGCGGCTCAGGACGGCCCAAGACGATTGCCAGACGGTGCCCAGACTGCTCCATAGACACCCAAGGCGGACCCAGGCAACCCGAGAACGCCTCAGATGGCTTCCAGACAGCCCAAGAGGCTTCCAAATCTGTCCAAGTCGGCGCCACGACGAGCCCAAAGAGAGCTCGAACACTGCAAAACCGTCCAACTCGGGAAAACATGCATTTCGGCTGTTCCTGGGTTTGCCCTCTTCATAGCGTCCAAGACGGCCATACAGGGGCCCAAGATGACCCTAGGACGACTCCTGAGGCGCCCCTTGCGGCCAACGGGGTACCCAAGACAGCCTCAAGAGCCGCCCAGGGCGGCCTTAGACGACTGCCAGACGGTGCCCAGACTGCTCCAGAGACGCCCAAGACGGCCCCAGACAACCCTCAGACCCGAGACAGCCCAAGAGGGCTCCAGAAGGTTTCCAGGAGGCCGAAAAGAAGCGCTGAGAGGCTCCGAAACTACCCCCAGAGGCTCCAAGATCCAGGCCCAAGAAGCACCGAAGACAGCACTAACAGCAGCTAAAGACGGCCTAAGACGGCCACAGACGGTCCCAACACGGCTCCCAGCACACCATGGGCCTTTGATGCTTGTTTGGCGCTCCCTGCCGGATTTGGCCCCAACATCCCTCGCCCTTTGTCGGTCAGGAAGGCCTCTTGGGGCCATGCAGTGTTTCGCTCTCCTGGTGGCCCAGAATCGCCTCGGCCGACCCCGGAAGCGCGCGCGGCCGCCCAGGGCGCGTCGGGCGGGATTCTGGGTCGGCGGCGCGGTCGCCCAGAATCGGTACCGCCGATTCTGGGCGAGCGGCCAGGATGGGCCTATCTTGGAGGCGTGTTGGTGATCTTGGGGCCCCTCAGAGGGCCCCCAGACGGCCCCAGAACGCCCGGAGAAGGCCGGACCCAACGCACCGACAAAGCCCGACCCGATCCCAAGGGAGCGCTTGAGCGCCCCAGGTGCGGCGTCCAGACGCTCCTCCGTCCCCTCGCTTAGCGATGTGAGGCAGCACCTGGTCACCTTTCATCCTGATCGCCTTGCGGCAGCACCCCTTCACCGCGCAAGTGGACGTAGTCCACGGGTCAGCCCTAGTCTCTCCTACATGGCCAGTGGAAGCGCGTGCGAGAATCTCTCCGGGCCTCACGTGCACAAAATCGCCCCTTTACGGCGCCACCACGGGGCCGAATCGCTCAGGCTGGTCCCAGAGGCACTCCAGAGGGGTCCCCAGACCGTCCAGGAGCGCTCCAAGACGGCCTCAGTGGGTCCCGAGACGGCCCACGAGGGCCCGAAGCCTTCCGGGGGGGCTCTATGACGATCCAAGAGGCCGCACAGACGCCCCAAGAGGGCCCCGTGCGCACGCCAAAGAGGCACAAATCGTCAAATTCTTATGGAAAGCGTATATTTTCAGCATGCCCGCCTTGTGTGCTCCTCAGCAGCCCAGGACACGCCAAGAGGCCTCCCAAATCGCCCCAAGAAGACGCCAGCGGCCCCTCAGAGGGCTCCAAGACGGCCCACAAGAACCCCAAGACGACGCCAGAGAGCTTCACAGAACCCCAAGACGGCCCCAAGAGAACTCCGAGGGGGCTCCAAGAGGCTCCCAAGATGGCCTCAGGCAGCCTCAAGAGAGCTCCAAGACGGTCCAAGGCCTCCCGGACGCCCCGTGACGGCCCAAAATGGCCCCAAAACGTCCCAACAAGCAATGGCCCGAACAAGACCCCCACAAGGACAACCAAGCAGGCCCAGAGACGCCAATTAAAAGAGCGATCGGTGAAGTACAAAGCTCTTCTCACCAAGGCTCCCGAGAGCGAGACGCAGCGTAGACAGCTTTCCCAGGCACAGCTCCCAAGAGCGAGCGGTGATGTCGGGACACCCTTCCGACCTCTCACACAGGAGCACGCACGCACAGCACGCAAGCACAATAGATTTCCTGGGCTGTCCCCCGGAAGATGCTCGGGGGGACAGCCCGGGAACGGCCCCAGAGGCGCCCCAAAGAACTTCAAGAGAAAAGGCCCCCAGGAGGCCGCAAGACGGCCCAAGAGGGCCCCAAGATGCCCCTAGAAGGCCGCAAGACAGCCAACGAGGCCCCAACAGGCCCCCGGGAGCTCGAAAAGAAACCCCAGGAGGCCCACTAACCGTTCCCAAGGAGACGGCAGCGTCCGCCATGAGGCTTCGAAGAGGCAACCGGAAAAAAGTCATCAGAGCCCTCCAGGTGATTTTTTTCAAGGCCCCAGGTGCTTTCAAAATTGACAAGCGGCGAGACGTACACCGCAGACCGCCATAGCCGTTTGTGACGCTCCGAAGGCTGTCTCGGCGGAGGTAGAGCGGAAGGCGGACGAAGAGAAGAAAGCGGTCCAAGAGGGCCTCCGAGACGGCCCAAGACCGCTTGAAGACGCTCCAGACGGGCCGCGGCAAACGAAATCATTGATTCTTCTATGGTTTCTGAAAGATTTCCACCCTCTCGCCATTTCGAGCGAAGACAGGCCGAAGACGGCCTTTTCGAGCCAAGACTGGCCCAAGATGACGTGGACGGAGTCCGCGGGTTCGCCCTAGTCAGCTACAGCGCTGGCATCACCGCTTGCGAAAAGGGCGAGCAGTGGCAGCGTGCGCTGGCACTGATGCTCGAGATGCGGGAGGCGAAGCTCGAGCCTGAGGTCATCTGGATTATAACTCTGGCCGACGCGTGGCATGGCCACTTGGCATGGTTATAACTAGGTTATAAGTAGCTTATAACCATGCCACTTGGCATGGTTATAACTAGGTTATAAGTAGCTTATAAGTAGATTTTATCCACATAGGAATCATGCTAACCGAGAAGAAAGCAGGGCGACGATCGCAGCGTGTGGCCGAAAGAGGCGAGCAGCGCGAGATCCTCGGGCGCTACCCGGTGGGCGCGCCCCGCCGGCGCCCAGAGCAGGCGGCCTCAGGCACAGCCCCCGGCCAGCTGTGACGCCTCACGAGGGCGGCAGGGCGGCCCAAGAGGGCCCAGAGCGAACCCCTATGCCGGCCCAGGAGAGCCGAAGGCTCGCCAGGAAGCCCCAGCGACGGCCCACGAGGACCCCAAGGATGGCCTCAGGATGTCAAAGCAACAAAAGCAACTACAACGTGTTTCCCATCGTGGTTTAACACTCTCCCCATGCATGGCGAGCCCCGAATTGCTCCGCGCGGCTCCAGGTCCTTGCAAGATCGCCCCGTGATGGCCCAAGAGGCCCCGACGATCGCACCAAGACGGCTCAAGAGGGCCCCAAGACGGCCAAGACCAGGCCCCAGAGAGCCTAACAGAGCCTCAAGTGGCGCCCCAAGACAGCCCCAAGAGGGCCCCAGGAACTGCCTAAGACGGCGCAAGCTTGGTTCCCACACGGCCCTAGACCCCAACCATGGCCCCAAGACGGCCCAAGAGGGCCCCAAGATGGCCCGGCATCAAGAATTGTTGAAGAAGCACCAAGAGGTGCTCTACAGTCTCCCGACAGACTCCGACATGTGCTAAGGAGCTCCCACGAGAGCCTCCAGCCCCAGCACCTTCTGCCGCTTCTGGCTTCCCAGACGGCCCAAGAGGGCCCCCAAAGCTGTCCAAGAAGGACCGTTCCGAGATGCTCTACAGCCTCCCAACATACTCCGACAGTTGCCAAGAAACTCCTGTGGTAGCCTCCAGCCCCAGTGCATCTCGCCGTATCTGGATTCTCAGCCGCCCCAAAGACAGTGCCAGACCCTTCAAAGGCCCCAGACCACACCAACATGCGCCGCAGAAGATTTCTGAAAGTTGCCAAGATCGGCTCGTGATGCGAACTTCACTCGCACGAGCTTACACTATGCTAATGTGTTTGTATTCATGGAAGAATGGAAGCTCTCACGAGAGGCTGGAGCCCTGGTGCCTTATGATCGTTCCTTGATCACCCGGAGACCCAAAGAGAACCCCGAACCCCAAAGAACGCTCCAGAGAGCTCCTTTCCGTGCTTTTGAATGGCCTCCGCACCAGGGCGCCGATTGCTATTGCTATGATGTTCTCTGTTTCTGTTTCTGATGTCTCCCCTGGGTGTTTTCAGACTTCTTGCTTCGGTGCCGCTCTCCTCCTCATCTTGCTTGCATTCCGTCCCCTCACCCTCTTCTCATCTCATCCCTGGAAACACCCATCAGCCTCGGCTCCCCCCTACGGCCGGTCAGGGGTGACGTCGTCGTCGCCGTCGTCGTCGTCGTCGCCGTCGTCGTCGCCGTCCCGAGGCCCAGTGCTCTCGCGGCTCTCTGCTCTCACTCCCCGTCCACCATCGCCCCGATGGGGCTCTTCAGCACACGCGGCTTCGAAGAGCTGCTCGGGCCCGACGAGCTGTCATGTTGCGGCTTCGCCAGCTGCATCCTTGATTCGCCCCATAGGTACACACTAGTCAGCTGCAATGCTGGGGTCAGCGCGTGCGAGAGGGGCGAGCAGTGGCAGCTGGCGTTGGCGCTGTTGAGCGAGATGTTGGAGGTGGAGCTGGAGCCCAACGTCATATTTACTACCTCGCCGTGGGGACCGCGTGCCAGAGGAGCAGGGGATCCAACGGCCCTACGCCGGCGCAGGCCAGCCAAGGGGGTTCCAGGACGGCCCATGAGAGTACCAGGACGGTCCAAGATGGCCCGGGACGCCCCCAGACGGTCGATTAGGTCGCTAATGCGGTTTCAAACGTCCCCACATTGCTGGAAGACGGCCCAAGAGAGCTCGAACAGGCCTCCAAGAAGGGCCCCGAGAGGCCAACATCATTGATTTCCCTTTGGTTTTCGAAGGGTTTCAGCACGTTCGCCTGTTCGGAGTCCGAGCCAGCCAAAAGGCACCCAAGATCGCGCAAAGATGGCCCAAGAGGCCCCCCAGGGAGCTCCCAGACAGCCTTAAAAGGAACCTCGCGATGGCCCAGAAGTCACCCAAGACGGCCCCAAGAGGGCCCCGCGAGAGGGAACTCGGACTGACATGCCGCGCCCTCCGCGCCACGATAATCCCAGAAACCGCCACCTGGCCCCCAAAGAGGCCCCCCAGACGCCCATAGAAAGCCCCACAGTGCCGGAGGACGGCCCAAGAGGGTCCCAAAAAAGGCCCGTGAGGAGGGCCCCGGGGGGCCAAATTCATTGATATCTCTTTAGTTTTTGAAGGGTTTCAGCGTCCTCGCTTTTTCGGGGTCGCCTCGCTCCAAGCCAGCCCCAGGGCTCCCAAGATCGTGCCAAGATGACCCACGAGGCCCCCAAGACAGTTCAAGACGGCCTCAAGAGGGCTCCACAAGGCGAACGGACATGTCGCGCCCTCTTCCCCGGGATGGTCCCACAAACCGCCACCTGGCCCTCAAGAGGTCCCCAGACGCCCCAGAAGGCGTCCGAAGAGGCCCAAATCAGGTCCAAAGAGACCTTCGAGAGGCCGCAAGACTTCCCAAAACCGCCGCCAAGAGGCTTCTCAGGAAAAGGTCTCTCAGAGAGCTCTGGGACCGCGCCGTCCACCCAGGCAAAATCAGGCGCACATGCGCCTTCTTTTTTTTCCCCCTCCTCTGCACAGGCTGGGGTCAGAATGGGCGACTCGTCCGGGAGTTCTTTTCTGAGAGTTCCCTGGACAGGCTGGCCATCGGGGGTACGCTCCGCAGTGTCTTCGATCTTCTCCCCAGCCCACGCAGCCTGCGCTCATCCTCCGACCGCCTCGGGCGGCCACAGCCACTATGGAACATCTTTCGGAAAGAAGACACTGTTTCTTGCTGGTTTCCAGCTTTGGCCTTAAGTCGGGCCTGTCCCCCTACAGTGGGATTTTCGACGAAAATATTAGATACACCACAAATAATCAAAAAAATAGTCCAACTATAGTCTGGGGACTATTTTTTATATTTGTTTTGCCATTTTGGGGCATTGTTTGGGCATGTTTGATTTTTCGTCGAAAGCCCCCTGTAGGGGGACACGCCCGACATAACCTTGGCCCAAATACAGCCTCAGGGTAGCTCAAGATCATCCTGGGGCGGCCCAGGACGCCCCCATTACCCGAACGGCAGCGGCACGAACCACGAAACGGGCAACAATGGTGGCAGCAACAGCAGGATGCGGCCAGCAACGCGCGACAAGCAGTCGTGGCCACCAGCAGCACATTTCAGCCACAAGCACCGAGTGCATGCAGCAGCAGCAAGCAGGACCAACAGCATGCAGCAGCGGCAGCAAGCAGCAGCATGCGAGGCATGCGCCGAGAGCGAGGGTCGAGCCCCACGCTGTGATGGCACCCCCAGAGGCCCAACACACACACACACACACTTCCACGAGGCCGCAACACGCTTCAAACCTGCTCTCAAGGCAGGGGCAGCGGACGACAGGCGAGAGCAAGAGGAAAGGGAGCAGGACGAGGAGGATGATGATGATGATGAGGAGGAGGAGGAGGAGGAGGAGGAGGAGCTGCTGCTGTTACTACTGCCCGTGCCCCTGGATCGCCTGCCGCTGATAGTGCTAGCGTTGCTCTTGACGCCGTCAGAGTCATCACGCAACGAGCAGCAGCAAGGCACTCTGACCACCGGCATTCGTGGACGGTTATCCACGGGTCAGCCCTTTCAGCTACGACGCTGGGATCAGCGCGTGCTGGAACGGTGAGCAGAGGCAGTTGGCTTTGGCGCTGCTCGGCGAGATTTGACACACATCTGATAAGACGGCACCTCCTACCCAGCATCAGCAGCACCCTGCATCTACAAGCAGCGACAGTACGCAGCAGCGGTAAGTAAGCATTACGAACAATTCCCAGCAGCGGCAAGCGGCAGTAAGTAAGTATTACATGCCAGCTCGGGCAGACTTCATGGACTCATGGACAGAGTCAACGGATCAGCTTTAGTCAGCTACAGCGCTGGGATCAGCGCGTGCGAGAAGGGCGATCAGTGGCAGCGAGCCTTGGCGCTGCTGAGCGAGATGCGGGAAGCGCAGCTGGAGCCCAACGTCATCTATACTAAAGAGAGCGTGATCCACCGCCGCTTTACTGTGGAAAATTGCCCACCTTTTCCTCCGGAACCCGGGGGTCGCCACCCCCCCTCCGAAAATCCCCCCCCCCCTGCTGGAACCCCCCCCCCCCCCCCCCCCCCCCTCCCCCGGCAAAACCCCCCCCCCCTCCCCTCCCCTCCCCCCCCCCTCGAAAACCGGGGGGGGTCACTATCGGTTCGAACCCCCCCCCCCTCGAAAACCGGGGCGGGTCACTACCGGTTCGAACCCCCCCCCCTCGAAAACCGGAGGGGGGTCACTACCGGTTCGAACCCCTCCCCCCCCCCACTCACCGCCAGCAAACGACTCCCGTCCCTACCACCGTCTGCATCACATCCCCCACTGTTGTTCCCAGCACACACTGTCCTCACCACCACTGTCCCCACTGGTTCCACCACCGTCCCTACTGTCCCCACCAGTGCCCCCACCACTGTCGCACTGTCCCCACTGTCCCCACCACTGTTCCCACCACGGTTCCACTCTCCCCACTGTCTCCACGGCCCCTGCCCGACTATCCCCACTGTCCCCACTGTCCTACTGACTCCTCCACTGTCCCACTGAGCTGTCCCACTGTTCCCACCACTGTCCCCACTGTCCCCACCACTGTCCCCACTGTACCTCTGTTCCATTGTCCCACCGCCGTCCTCGCCACCGCCTTCACCACTGTCCCCACCACCATTGTACCATCCACTGTCCCACTGTTTCCACCTCATTCCCACTGTCCCCACACCACTGTCCCCACCACCACCGTCCCCACCACTGTCCACTGTCCCCACTGTTCCCACCATTGTCCCCACCACTGTCCCCACCACTACCGTCCCCACTGGTTCCACCACCGTCCCCACCACTGTCCCACTTTCCCCACCACTGTCCCGCTGTCCCCTTACCACTGTCCCCACCACCACCGTCCCCACCACTCTCCGCACCCCCACTCGGTTTTCGAAGGGGGGGCGGGGGGGGGGGTTCGAACCGGTAGTGACCCCCCCCGGTTTTCGAGGGGGGGGGGGTTCGAACCGGTAGTGACCTCCCCCCCTTTTCATGATGAACTGGGGGGGGGGGAGGGGTTCGAACCGGTAGTGACCCCCCCGGTTTTCCGGAGGGGGGGGGGGGGAGGGGTTCGAACCGGTAATGACCCCCCCCGGTTTTCCGCCAGCAGCGGTAGAACACGCTCTTTCTTATGTTACAAAGCCGGGAGAACCGCTTGCCAGAAGGATGGGCATTGGGACGCGACTGAAGTGGACCAAATCGCCCCCGGCGGGCCTGGCGGGCCCCTGGGCCCCGAGACACGGTCCCAGATGGCCCGAGACGCCTCCAGACGGCCCAACATGATGCCGATATGACCTTCAGACGGCTCCACAGGGCCCCAAGACGGCCCAGGAGGGCTTCAAGATGGCTTCAAGAGGCTCCCCGAGACGGCCTCACAGGGCCCCGAGAGGCCAAAGAAATGTGTTCTCCGTTTGTTTTTACTGGTTTCAGTTTGCTTGCCTTTTTGGAGTCTCGACGCTTCAAGACGGCCCCAGAGGCTCCGTCCTCTGGGTCATTTTCCAGGTTGCAAGGCTGCAAGACGGCCCAAGAGAGAGCTGCAAGACGGCTCAGGGAAAGCCCCAAGACGGCCCAAGAGGCGCCCAAAACGACCCAAGATGGCCCAGAGATGGCCCCACCGCCTTCCCCCGCCTGGGCACCTGCGGATTTGCCCCACGGTACACAGTGGTTTCTACTACATGGCAGGGCCTTGCGCGTGCGAAGAAGGCGGGGCTTGAAAGCGCCCTGGCGGCCGCTGCGATCCGCCGGAGACCCCGGGATGTTCCAAGAAGGTCCAAGATCGCTTCGAGACGCTCCGGAGGCTCCCAAGAGGGCCAAGCCGGTCCATGAAAGCCTCCGAGACGGTCGAAGACGTTCGAAGACGCCCAAGATAGCCTCCAAACGGTCCCAGAGGCCCCCAAAACGCTCCAAGTGGGCTCCAAGACGAGCCCCAAGAGATCCCGAACAAGGAAAGATCGTCCAACCCCTAGGGCATACGTATATTTCGGCAATTTCCGCGCGTTTCGTCTTCCAAGCGCACAAGACGGCGATTCAGGATCTCACGATCGCCTCGAGGCGCCTCAGGAGGCCCCCATGAGGGCCCCAAGACAACCCAACACGACCTCAGGAAAGCCCCTGAGGCGCTCATGACGGCCCAAGAGGCACCCAAGACAGCTCCAAGAGAGACACAGACAGCGCAAGACGGTTCAAAGACGTTCCCAAGATTGCCCCAGAGCCGCCCAGGACAGCCCCAGACGGCCCCAAAACGGCCCAAGGGCCACGCAGGACAGCCCCAAAAGGCCGTCAGGCTTCGGAAAGGCGGCAGGAAACAAGTCCAGGAAGGCTCTGGAGAGCCCCAGATGGAAGGGCGCCCCCGTGGGCGCGAAGTTACTCGCGGTCCGCGGTTTGCGGTGCGGCTCCGACTCCGCATCCTCCTCTTCTCCCTTAAGGGGGCGGCGCGGGAGCGCGAAGTTATTCGCGCAGCGAGAAGCGCAATGTTAGGCGCCCTTGATGAAGAGGTTTCCAACATGGGCTTCAGACGGCCTAGGAGGGCTCCAGGACGAGCCCCAAGAGATCCCGAACAAGGAAAGATCGTCCAATCCCGAGGGCAAACGTGTATGTTCTGTGCGTTTCGTCTTCCAAGCGCACAAGACGGCGATTCAGGATCTCACGATCGCCTCAAGGCGCCTCAGGAGGCCCCCATGAGGGCCCCAAGACAACCCAACACGACTTCAGGAAGGCACCTGAGGCGCTCATAACGGCCCAAGAGGCACCCAAGACAGCTCCAAGAGAGTCACAGACGGCCCAAGACGGTCCAAAGACAGTCCCAATATTGCCCCAGAGGCGCCCAGGACAGCCCCAGACGGCCCCAAAACGGCCCAAGGGCCACGCAGGACAGCACCAAAAAGCCAACCACCGTCAGGCTTCGGAAAGGCAAGCCTTTAGAGGCCCCTAAACGACCCCCAGAGGCCCCAAGATCACAGCCCAAAAAGCACCGAAGACAGCACCAACAGCAGCCAAGACGGCCTAAGATGGCCACAACGGTCCCAAAACGGCTCCCAGCGCACCATGGAGTTCTCATGCTTGTTTGGCGCTGCCTGCCGGATTTGGCCCAACATCCCTCGCCCTTTTTGTTGGTCTGGAGCCTTCTCCGCGGCCTCTTGGGACCATGCCGTGTTTCGCTCTTCTAGTGGCCCAGAATCGCCTCGCCTCGGTGGCATAGCTTCGGGAGGTTTCTGAAACATGCCCCAGAAATCTCTTGGCGGGTCTCGGCCCCACCCTGTCATGTAGGGCAGGTTTTCAACCCCATTTCGGTCCACTTTGGGCCATCTCCAGCTTCTATCGGCGATTACTTCGAGCAATTTTTGGGGCTTGATCGGGTCTTTTGGCGGGTCTCGGCCCTGTCCTATCATGATAGGGTAAGTTTCCACGCCATTTGGGCGCACTTTGGCCATCTCTGGCTCCCATCGGCGCTCATTTCGGGCCACCTTTGGGGCTTCATGGGGTCTCGTCGCTGGTCTCGGCCCTGCCGTATCACGATACGGCAGGTTTTTTCGACGCAATTTGGGTTCACTTTTGGCAGCACCCCTTCACCCCGCAAGTGGACGTAGTCCACGGGTCAGCCCTAGTCTCTACATGGCCGGTGGAAGCGCGTACGAAAAGCCCAGGGCCTCAAGTGCACAAGTGCACAAAATCGCCCCTTTACGGCGCCACCACGGGGCCGAATCTCTCAGGCCCGTCCCAGAGGCACTCCAGAGGGGTTTCCCGACCGTCCAAGAGCGCTCCAAGACAACCTCAGTGGGTCCCGAGACGGCCCACGAGGACCCGAAGCCTTCCGGGGAGGGCTCCACGACGATCCAAGCGGCCGCAAAGACGCCCAAAGAGGGCCCCGAGCGCACGCCAAACAGGCACAATCGTCAAATTCCTATAGGTCAGCATGCCCGTCTTGTGTGCTCCTCAGCGGCCCAGGACACGCCAAGAGGCCTCCTAAATCGCCCCAAGAAGACGCCAGTGGCCCCTAAGAGGGCTCCAAGACGGCCCATAAGAGCCCCAAAACGACGCCAGAGACCCCTGAAACGGCCTCACAGAGCCCCAAGACGGCCCCAAGAGAGCTCCGAGTCCGAGGGGGCCCCAAGAGGCTCCCAAGACGGCCTCAGGCAGCCTCAAGAGAGCTCCAAGACGGTCCAAGGCCTCCCGGACGCCACGAGACGACCCAAAATGGCCCCAAGACGTCCCAAAACGCTCCCAGAGCAGCCCAAACAAGCTTCAGAATGGCCCGAAAAAGACCCCCACAAGGACCACCAAGCAGGCCCAGAGACGCCCAGTGGAAGCGCACCAGGGGGACCTGAAGGTCGTGGGCGAAGTCCACGGGTTCGCCCTAGTTAGCTACAGCGCTGGGATCAGCGCGTGCGAGAAAGGCGAGCAGTGGCAGCCGGCGCTTGCGCTGCTGATAGAGATACGGGAGGCGAAGCTGGAACCCGATGTCATCAGTTACAGCGCTGGGATCAGTGCGTGCGAGAAGGGCCGGCAGTGGCAGTGGGCGCTTGTGTTGCTGAGCGGGATGTTGGAGGCGAAGCTGGAGCCCAACGCCAGCAGCTACAACGCTGGCATCAGCGCGTGCGAAAAGGGCCAGCAGTGGCAGCGGGCTCTGGCGCTGCTGAGCGGGATGCGGGAGGCGAAGCTGGAGCCCGACGTCATCAGCTACAACGCTGGGATCAGCGCGTGCGAGAAAGGCGCCAAGCACGAGGAGGAAGAAAGGGCGGAGGAGAAGGATGAGGATGATGAGTTGGAGGAGGAGGTGGAGGAGGAGGAGGGGGAAGAGCTGCTGCTACTACTGCCCATGCACTTGAATATACAGTCGCTAATGCTGCTAGCGCTGCTCAGGACGCAAACAGTGAACCCTTAAACAATGAGCAGCAACAAGGGCATGCTGACCATTGGCACTCGTAGATGGTAGTTTTTTTACGGGTCAGCCTTAGTCATCAGTTACAGCGCCGGGATCAGCGCGTGCGAGAAGGGCGAGCAGTGGCAGCGGGCGATGGCGCTGCTGAGCGAGGTGTGGGAGGTGAAGTTGAAGCCCAATGTCATCAGCTACAACGCTGGCATCAGCGCGTGCGAGAAGTGCGTGCAGTGGCAGCGGGCGCTGGCGCTGTTGAGCGAGATGTGTGAGGCGAAGCTGGAGCCCGACGTCATCAGCTACAGCTCTGGGGTCAACGCGTGCGAGAAGGGCGGGCAGTGGCAACAGGCGCTGAGCATGCTTAGAACCATGCGCTTGAGAAAGTTGGACGTTGGCTTCATGGCCTACGGAATTACAGCCAGCATGTGCGAGCAAGGCGGGCAATGGAGCCAAGTGCTGTCTTTGATCAGGGAGGTGCGTGACCTAGTTACAGGTGGGTGATATCATACATGCCGTGTTCGATACGCTTGCTTTGTTCAGTTGCATCGTTGGGACCAGTGCGTGGGAGATGGGCGAGCAATGACTGGTGGCTTTGGCGCTGTTGAGCGAGGTGTGGGAGGCGAAGCAGCTGGAGCCCACAGCCATCGATGATCCAGCGTTGAACCCCCCCCACACACCAATGCATGTGGGATCGAGACCCCCCTCCCCCTCCCCCTTGGATGGGTAAGCCCGTGAGCCTCGCGAAAGCCTCGTGAGTCGGATCGTTCCCGCCACCACCCCCTGAGGTCGTGGCCCTGTGGACGTGGCGTGGTGGACGGTGCTGGTGCTCGCCCCCCCTGTGGGTGTGGGGTGCTTCGTCGTCGTTGTCGTCGCTGTCGTCGCCGTCGTCTTCCGTCGTCGTTGTCTTCCGTCTGCGTTGGCGTCGTCGTCGGCGTCGTCCTTGGGCTCTGCGTCGTCGTTGTCGTCGTCGTCGTCGTCGTGGTCATCGGCGTAGGCGTCGGCGTCGGCATCGGCGTGGGCTTCGGCGTCTGCTTCGTCGTCGTCGTCGCTGTCGTCGTCGTCGTCGTCGTCGTCGTCGTCTTCCCCCCCCGTTCCGTCGACCGGGGATCATTAATTTTACGGCAGCCGGGCTCAGCGCGTGCCAGATGGGGCCATCCACTGAGCCCGCAGGGCCCGCGATGGCGGCGCCTCCGCGGCCAACTGCCCCAAGGGAGCCCCGCAAGTGGCGCGAAAGGCCCCCAAAGCGCCCCGCTGCCGCGCAAGAGGGCTCCCGGACGGCCCGAGAAGGCCCCAACCAGGTTCCACAAGGCTCCCATATTGCTCCCGAGAGGGCCACGAGGACGACAAACTATGCCCTTTTGTTGTTTGTTTCGCACTTCCTCTTGCGATCGCGTCGCCGGCCACAAGACGCCCAAACCGCCACGAGAAGCCTCCCAATTCCTTGGGAGGGCGCCCAGGGAGCTCACAAGAGAGCTCCTACGACGGCCCCGTAGGCCTTCAAGTCGGCTGCGGGGAAAGGGCCAACTCTGGAGCGCTCCCCGCCCCTTTCCGCCCCCCCCACTGCCAGCAACCTCCGAAGAAGAGAAGCCCCCAAGAGGCTCCCAGACGGCCTCTGGGACGCTCCTCAGCAGCTCCCTTGCAACGGCTCGGACATGCTCCTGAAACTATGTCACAGGCTCCCAGAAGGCCTCCAGCAGCTCCCTCCAGACGGCTCCGATTGGTTCCTGGAAAGCACCAGATGATTGGAACAAAAACCATTCCCCACACCCGTTTGGACACCTTTCGCGCGGGATGGGTTGCAGAAATTAGCTCCCTGATTCGGACGCGGACGCCAGGGAATGTTGTTCCTGCGACCCTTCCCGCGCCGAGCGTGTCCCGAGAGGTGGGTGCGTTTTCGTTCCGATCATCTTGGGCCTCCTCGTTCTCCTCCCCGTCGTCGCTCTCCTCCGCCACAGGCGCTCCTGCTGCTGCTGCTGGAGTTGCCGCCGCCGCTACTGCAGCCGCACTGCTGCTGTTGCTGCTGGAGCTGGCTGCTATTGCTACTGCCCATGCACCTGGATCTGCTGCCGCTGATCACCTCAGGAGGTCTTCAGTTTTGCTCCTCCCCTTGTTTCTCTCGGCGTGAGTGAACTCGCCCCAACTCCTCGTCGTCGTCTTCGTCGTCGTCGCGGCGGAAAGTACTTTCCCTCTATTGCTGGGCGGGCTGGACAAAAGATCGGGGGTGCCCTTCTCCCAGGTAGTCATCCATTGTAGGCTTCCCTGCGCGCGAGAGTATGCGTGAGCATCATCTCATGCGGATTGCAATAGGAAGGTATATCATTTTGATCCGCGGGCTTTCGCAGTCGTGATCGCAGTCGTAGCCGTAGCCGTTGTATTAGATGTGGTCGTTATTTGTTGGTTGTGGTTGTAGCTGAAGTCGTTGTTGTAGTCGTGATTGTAGCCGTGATTGTACGCGTGATTGTAGTCGCGATTAGAATCGTCGTCGTAGTTGTGGTTGTAGCCGTAATTGTAGTCGTAGTCGTATACGCAATCGTAATCGCAATCGTGAGTCGTAGTCGTAGTCGTCGTCGTTGTTGTGCGGCGGATGCCGCGGAAAAATAATCATGCTCCATTATTGGTGGGGCCAAGTCCGCCAATCAGGTCGCCGAACAGATGATTAGTTTCCAAGTTGTTGGGGGGGTCTAAAGGCCTACCGCAGTCACTGTTAGCGCTGCCTTGGACGCAATCGTAAGCATTAATCAAAAAGCACACCCTGAAGCAGTGAGCGTCAGCAAGTGCACTCTGACCACTGGCCTTCGTGGACGGTAGTTCACAACCAGGCCTAGTCTCTACTACACTGCAGGGGCACGTGCGTGCGGGAAGGGCGCAGGCTCAAATGTCTCAAAACCGCCCCGGGCTAGCCCCGGGCCGCCCCGGGCCGCCCAGGCAGGCTCCAGGACATGTCGGGAGGGCCCCCAGAAGCCCCCAAGACGGCCCCGGAGAGCCCCGGCACGCTTAAAGATGAGCCCAAGACGCCCGAGATTCGCCCCAGGCGGCCCAAGAGGCGTCCAAGACGCCCGAAGAGGCCTCCCAAGAGGCCTCCCAAGAGGGCCCCGAGCGACAGAAATCGTCGATTTCTATTGTGTTTTTCGATGTTTTCGGCCTCCTCGCCTCTTCGGCTTCCCGACGCTCCAAGACGGCCCAAGAAGTCCCCCCGACCGCTCCAAGACGGCCGAAGAGGACCCCAAGAGAGCCCCAAGACGGGCCAGGAGGGCCCCAAGACGGTCCCAAGACGCCCCAGGACGGCCCCAGGACGGCCCAGGAGGCGCCCAAGACGGCCCAAGAGGCACCCAAGACGGCCCCAGGAGCGGCCCAAGACGGCCCAAGACAGCCCAAGAGGCGCCGAGGCGGGCCTCAAACGGCCCCAAGACGGCCCAAGAGGCACCCAAGACGGCCCGAGAGGGCCCTAAGAGCCCCCCCGGGAGGCCCAAAAGAAGGCCGAAGAGGCTCCGAAACGGCCCCCACGAAGCCTTCAGTGCCGTCAGAATTCCCTCCAGGAGCGGGGGAGCGGACGAGAGGCGACAGGCATATCGCAGGCAAAAACGCCCCAAGAGATCTCCAAACGGCCCCCACGAAGCCCTAAGTGGCCCCAGAATTGCTTCCAGGAGGGGGGGAGCGGACGAGAGGCGACCGGCATATCGAAGGCACAAAAGAACAATGTTGGACGCTCCGAGGGCCTTCGATGTTTCTCCGTTGGGGAGAGTCGTCGTAGGATCGACGATTGCCGACCGAGGGCAGCGAATCCAGTGGAGGCCCAAGAGGCCCCCAGGAGCCCAAAAGAGATCCCCAAGAGGTGCCACGGGGCTTAAAAACTGCTTCGAAGCGAGGGGGGCGGACGAGGGGACCGCCTCAGGAGGTTTTGGACGGTTTTGGGCCTCAAAATCGTCCGCTTTACGACGGTTTTGGAAGGATTTTGGCCTTCTCGCCTTTTCCGCTTTCCGACGCTCGAAGACGGCCCAAGAGGCCTCCAAGAGCGCCCCAGAACGGCCCAAGAGGTTTCCAAGAGCGCCCCAAGACAGCCCAAGAGGGCCCCAAGACGACCCAAGAGACGCTCAAGACGGCCCACGAGGGCCCGAAGACAGGCCCAAGAGGGGGCCAAGAGGGGGACCACGGACCGAAAATCCGAGCCTTCCGCCCCAAGAGGGCGCCAGGAGGCCCAAACAGGCCCCCAAGAGGCCCCAAGGGGCCGCCAAGAATCCCCCGAAGAGGCCCCAGGAGGCTCCCAAGGAGCCCAAACGAGGCCCCTACAGAGGCCCCAACAGCTTCCAAAATGGCCCCGAAGAGGCCTCGAGCCCGCCTCCGAGCTTCCTCGCCGCGAGGGTGCCAACACGGCCCCAGACCGGCCCAGGACGGCCCAAGGCGCGCTCAAGACGGCCCAAGACGATTCCAAGACGGTCCCAGGAGGGTGCGCCCAGGACGGCCCAAGGACGCGCCCGTTCGGGGCCTCAAGACGGGCCAAGATGGCAAGAGAGTCCCAGCTGGCAAAAATCGTTAATTGTAAGTGATGCACGGGAATGATTGTGAATGTCTGCCGCCATTTATCTCACAGGCACTTCTCTTCGGAAGAGGCATCGTTGATGGCAGGGCGGCTCCTCGGCGCTGGCGCGCAGTGGGCTGCGGCCATCAGCGGACAGGCGCTGGGCACCTGGCTGGGCGGGACCAGCCAGGGGCACGGGTGCGAGTGCTCCTGCCACTTCGAGACCTCGCCAGACGAGGCGCTGATCGGGCTGCTCAAGGGGCAGCTGGACAGGTGCGGACCAGAGCACCTCCACGGGCAGCCCGCCTTTGCACCGGACTGCCCAGCCTGCGCCCCTTGCCCGCCCGGGCACACCGGGCTCGAGGTGGTCCTGGCACTGCTGCTGGGGCTTGTACTGGGCGCGGTGCTGCGCGAGGTCGCCTGTGTGTTCGGCCGTCGCTCTGCTCCCGTGCCCTCGGAGCCGATTGATGTCAGCAGCGCGCACGGCCAGGGCGTTGGAGAGCCTATCGATCGGGTGCAGGGTCCTCGCCTACTACGATCGCGACGACAACTACTGGCATGAAAGATATATCATCGGAAAGGTTACCGACACGCGCTTCATTGTGGTCACCCCACACTTCGACATCTACGAGGAGGACTTCTCGGAGAGTCTCGCTCTCTGCCTCATCGGCCCCCGAGGGGGGCTGCCCACCAAGCTCAATGGGCACGTCCTGCGCCTGGACATGGACAGGTTCAGACGCAACGAGGCGCGACTTCTCGGGGAGGGCCGTCAGCTGGCCAAGGAGATCCGCGAGGCTGAGGGGCTCCCAGAGGGCCCGCCTGGCGCCCTCGCCGACGCCGCCGCCGACGGGGACGCTGCCCAGCTTCCCCTGCCGCCGCCCCCAGGCGCCCCTGGGGCCGCTCAGGGCGGCGCTGCTCGCGCTGGTGGCGCTGGCGTGCCTGTTCGCTGGGTGGCTGCCGAGGAGCGGGCTGGCTACAGACCCGGAGACGAGGTCGGGCTGCGGCAGCCCGAGGTCGTGCTGGGCGACCGTGGCGTCTGCGAGCTCACCGACGGCACCGCGCTGGCCGTGGCCAAAGAGGGGACGCTGGAGAGCACCGCCACGCCACGGGCGACAGCCGAGCAGGACTTGCGAACGCTTCCTGTCAGGTACGACGCGCGTGGCATCCGCGGCAGAGACTTCACCGATGCGGTGGATCGGATGTCCTCGACCGCCATGCCCGACTGGCCTATCAAGGGCCCCCGCACGACCCTGTGGCTGGTGCAGCAGTTCAGGCGGCTCGGTCAGACACCCTTGCAGCGGCATCAGTGGTGGCGCCAGACTCAGAACCTCACGGCAGCGGATGCAGGCGTTGACGAGCATCAGTTCTTGTCGGAGCTCCTCGAGATGGGGGCTCAAACGGACCAGCTTAATGAAGGTGAGCTGGCAGTGTACGAGACGGTCGCGAGGCGCTACCAGCTCTGGGAGGAGATCTACGCCAACAGGCTGCGCGAGCACGAGAGCGGTGCGCTGCGCAGCTCAGGGAGTTCGGCGTGGCTGGATGAGCGCGAGATCTTCCTGGGCCAGGAGCGGGGCAGAGGAGGAGCGCTCGTCTGCCCTGAGCTGCAGACCTGGGTGGCGGAGCGCCTCCAGGCCGAGGCAGCGGTGCTCAAGGAGCGCCGCAAGGGTCGCGAGGAGAAGATCCTGGCTCGCGGTGTCGGCCCGGGTGGAGGAGATGACGACAGTGGAGCCCCTGCCAAGGCCAGGTCAAAGGCCAAGGCGAAGGGCGTGGCTGAGAGGGCTTGACGCCCTCATCCTGTTCGAGAAGTGGCTTGGTCGCCCGCCTGCCCCCGAGCGGTCGACTATTTTCAAGGGGAGGCGCCGCGTGGGCGCTATGTTTTCTGATGAGGACGTCGGAGGCCGTCATCGAGACCTTCTGCCGATTCCTGTTGGCGCAGAGCTTCGTTCCTTGCTCAGTGGTGAAGGCGCATGGGGCACCTCTCCATCGGCGAAGCGGAGATCAGCCACAAGGAGGCGGCAGGACCAGTGGCTTCTCGAGGGCATCGCCTCCCTCAATGAGCTGGGCGGGCAGGGGCGACAGGTGCCCAGCCACGCCCCGCTGACGGCGGCCCAACGTGTTGCCGTGCGGCGGCTGGCCTCGCTTTACGGCAAGTGGTCTCCGCCCGTTGATCGTCCAAGTCCCCATGCGGCATGGTCGTTGCTGCAGGGTCTCAGGCCTGGCTACTCTGAAGCCGAGGCCGCAGGTGCTCGAACAGTCTACCAGCGGGGGAACATCTCGCTTCCCAAGATCGGCGCTGGCAAGGTCCCCCTCGTGGACGTCCTTCCTGCTGATCTGCAATCCAAGCTGGAGTCTGGGCGCGGGCTGTTGCGTTCCCCTGAGGAGGCAGCAGCGCTAATTCGTGATGCAGGTGCTCCTCGCGCCATGGATCCAAAGCTGGGCCGCCTGGGCTACGACTATGGCCACGCGCTGGGCGAGCTCTTCGCCTCGGGGGTCATCGAGTGCAGCTCAGAGCCGGTGCTCGAAGAGGCGGGCATGTTCTTCGTCGCCCGCAAGGATAAGCGGCTGCGTCTCATCTGCGACACCAGGACTCCCAACATGCACTTCACTGTTCCTAACCACACCGCCCTTGCGACGGGCGAGGCTCTCTCCTCGCTGGAGGCGTCGGGGGTGAACTTCATCGGCATGAGTTCTGGAGATGTTGACTGCTGTTTCTATCAATACTCACTTCCGCCCTGGTGTAGGCGCTACTTCAACCTGCCGACTATTCAGAGTCGCTTCTTGCCGCTCGAGGTCAGGAACGCCTGTGGGTTGTCAGGGAAGAGCGGCCAGGTCCGTTTTCGTTTCAAGGTCGTGCCGATGGGCTGGAACTGGGCCGTTCACTTCATCCAGGAGGCTCACCTCCACATCGTCAAGTCAGTTTTGCCGTCCCAGCCGTGGTGCGTGGACAAGCACCCGGGGATAGACCTGAGCGTGGAGGACGCCAAGGTTTTGTATATCGACAATTTCGCCGTGCTGTCTGCCTCGCCCCAGCGCGCTGCCCAGGCCGCCTATGACATGAAGGCGGCACTCGCGGCCAAGGGAGTGGTGTCCGAGTTGGACCCCCAGGCCAGCGAGGTGGGCGAGCTGCTCGGGTGCGAGCTTGACCTTCGCACAGGCTGCTGGCAGGTGTCTGGCCGCCGTCTGTGGCGCCTGTATGGCGCGCTCGAACACCTTCTCTCCCGGAGAGTCAAGGTCTCGGGCCAGGAGCTGGAGCGCCTGATTGGTCACATCGTGGCAGCGTTCATGCTGCGGCGTGAAGGTCTGGCTTTGCTTCATTCTTCGTACGAGTTCGTGCAGGCCTCCTACACCAAGCGGCAGCCCCTCTGGAAGAGCGTCCTCCGCGAGCTGGGCTGGGTCAAGGCGCTCCTGCCCTGCCTCAGGTCGGACACCAGACGGCCCTGGTCGGAGCTCGTCACGTGCTTCGACGCCTCCCCTTGGGGGTATGGAGTCGTCGAGACCGAGTGGGACCTGGGCGACGTGCAGCGCGTGGGGAGGGTGTCTGAGCGCGCCCGCTTCAGAGGCGTGCTCGCGACCGAGGGCGCGCCTCGCGAGAGGGCGTTCGAGCACGAGGTCGCCTGCGCGCCCGACCCCGCCCTGCTGCTCGTCGGGCGCGCCACCCGCTTTCCGGAGGTCAGCCACAGCACGCTGCAGTCCAGGACCTGGCGAGTGGTAGGCTGCGGAAGGTGGAAGCGGAAGGAAGCCATCCACGGGCTCGAGGGCGCCGCCCTTACCTGGGCCGTGAGGCGGGCCGGCAGAGATGCGCGTCAGCACGGCGCCCGCAGGCTTTTTCTGGGCGACAACATGTCTCTCACCCTTGCGGCTGCAAAGGGTCGAGCGGCTAATCATCGTCTTCTGGGAGTCTGTCGTGTGCTGCTTGCTGTGGGTATTGCCGCCGATCTTAAAATCCAGGTGAGGTGGATTCCGTCCGAGTGGAACCCAAGTGATGCACCCTCCCGTCGCTTTCAGCCCAAGCCTCGTGGCCCCGACGGGGTCCCCGCGGCTGCCGACGCCGGGCGGGATGGAGGTGGCGACGCTGCAGGCAAAGCTGCCGACGCCGGCGAGCCCAGCGAGGCGGCCCCGCCCCCGCTCCGCCCTTCGCGAGCGGAGCTTGCGCAGGAGCCGTTCGCCCTGCAGCCGCACGGTGGAGCGCCTGACGGTGCAGCAGCCGCGGGGCAATGGCAGCCCCCCTACGGGTCGCCCGCAGGCGCGGGCGCGGTGGCGCTCACCTCGTCGCCAGGCCCGCGCGGCAGGCGTCCCGGCGCTGGCTGGGCCAAGGAGCAGGCTCGTCGCGGCTGGGCGGCGCGCAAGGCGTGGCCAGGATCCCTGGGAGAGAGACCTCGACCAGAGGAGGCGGCGCCTGTGCCCCCGCCAGACGCGGCTTGCGGCGGCCAAGGTGCGCTTCGCCACGCAGCAGCTGTATCTTGGAGCTGTCCTTGGTCTGGTTCGCTGGCTGTGTCTGGGCTGCCTCCCGGACTGGAGCCGCCAGACCTGGGACGAGACCCTCGCCGAGTACATCGAGTCGATCTACGACAGGGGGGGCTCGAAGGCGTCGACGCAGCGGCTGGCCCCAGCACTGTTGTGGGCGGAGCCCCACCTGCATACGGCTGGTATCCGCGAAGTCTTCCCGCTGACCCACCAGACGCTGCGAGGATGGGGGGTGCTGGAGCCCTCCAAGTCCAGGCCGCCCGTGCCGTACCTCGTGATGCTGGCGGCGGCAACCTGGCTGTGCCAAGCTGGAAAACCGTTGAGCGCCCTCGCCATCGTGATAATGTTCGAGACCTACATGCGCCCGTCGGAGGTTCTGGCTTTGCGAGCCCGCCAGGTGGTGCTCCCCCTTCCGGAGGAAGGTGGCGCCTCAGCCTTTCTGACCTTTGTGGTGCGAGCATCGGAGTACGAGGTCCCCACAAAGACCAACGAGTACGACCTCTCAGTGCCCCTCGACCTCCAGAGGCAACAGTGGCTGGTGAAGCCGATCTCCTTCGTTCAAGCCCTTCGCGAGCCCGACGCGCTGTTCCTGGGCCTGAGCTACACAGAGCTGGCGGAGGACTTCCAGAGCGCGATCGAGGCTCTGGATGTGGGTGTACTCAGGCCCACCCTCTACTCCCTCCGGCATGGAGGGGCCAGCCAGGACCGCAGCATGGGCGTCAGAAGCTTAGGCGGCGTCCAGCAGCGCGGGGGATGGAAGACGTTCAAGTCAGTGCTCAGGTACGAGAAGCATGGCCGTCTGTCCCTCGAGCTTCGCAAGCTGTCGTCCAGGCAGCGCGAGGCCCTGCGAGCCAGAGGACGGGACTGCGCGCTCGCCTTCAACAAGTCCTTAGTGCTGCACTTCGCTCCGCACCGCACCAGTCCCGTGTATGCATAGAAGTCTTCTCTGGATGTGGGGAATTGAGTAGACACCTGAGGCAGAGAGGAGAGGCAGTCATCGAGTGGGACCTTCGCCACGGTGCCCATTTTGATCTGACTCGCCCGGCTGTTTTTAAGGTTTTGAGAGGTTGGATTTCTTCTGGCCTTGTAAAGCTCGTGTTTCTTGGGACGCCCTGCAGTGGGTACTCGAGGGCCCGACGGGCCCCTAGGCACAGCAAGATGCCCTCCGCCCTCAGAAGCCCCTCGTGTCCCATGGGTCTCCCAGGTCTTTCGGGCAAGGACCTCGAAAGCCTCACTGTCTCCAATAGGCTAGGGTGGGTGTCCCAGCGAATTCAACGCCTGTGTTATAAACTGAATGTGCCAGGAGCCGAAGAAAATCCTTGGCAGAGCTTTCTGTGGCTGCGCCCTGATCGTCGCTCCTTCGCCAAGCTCCCTCAGGTGTGTGATAAGGTTGTGGACTACTGTGCCTGTGGGCGCCCCTTCAGAGCTCGAACCAGGATTCGGTTCTGGAAGTGCGCGCCCCACCCCGGTCTTGATAAACTAGTATGCGCTGGCAGAGGTATATGTAGCTTCTCCCGTAGGCCCCATGTGGAGCTCACAGGTTTTTCTGGCAACAAGTTTTGCACGCTAATGAAAAACGCCTACCCTTCTGCTCTGTGTGCACTCTTGGCTGACAGCCTGCACAAGTCGTGTATAGCCCAGCAGTCCATCGGAAGGTGGAAACACATGCGAGGAATATAACTCCCCAGTTCAATGCTTGAGGTCGGGTTTTTTGAAGGTTGGCAAATCTGTGTCGCACTAGCCAGCCTAGCTTGCCCGTGCTTCGTTCGTTTCCTCAAGCAGCATGTGCCACTGGCAAAATGGACCAATCATGTAAGTGATGCACGGGAATGATTGTGAATGTCTGCCGCCATTTATCTCACAGGCACTTCTCTTCGGCCCTCGCCAGCCCAATGCCTCCTTTAATCCGTGCCTGGAGCAAATCTGTGTCGCACTAGCCAGCCTAGCTTGCCCGTGCTTCGTTCGTTTCCTCAAGCAGCATGTGCCACTGGCAAAATGGACCAATCATGTTGTTTCGTGTTCCCCCTCTTGGGGCGTTCTTGGGGCCCTCTTGGGCCGTCTTGGAGACCTCTTGGGCCGTCTTGGAGCCCTCTTGGGCCGTCTTGGGGCTCTCTTGGGGGCCTCTTTAGCCCTCTTGGGGCGATCTTGGAGTCGTCTTGGGCTGTCTTGGGGCTTCGGGAAGCGGAAAAGGTGGAAAAGCCAAAATATGTCCAAAACCTTAGGAAAAGCAATGAATTTTGCCTCTTGGGGCCCTCTTGGGAGTACGCTTGGAGACCTCTTGGAGCGTCTGGGGGCCATCTTGGGCGTCTTGGAGCGATCTTGTGGCATCTCGGACGCCTCGTGTACCATCTTGGGGACCTCTTGCGGGCCTCTTGGTTTTGTTTGGGTCCTCGGGGACGTTTTCGGAGCCCTGTTGGTGCGCTCGGGGAGCGCTCGGGGGGACCCGGCCGGGGACCGGCCGGGACCTGGTCGGGGTACTTTTCGTCTGGGGACCCCCAGGGGCCGCCCCGCGCGCGCGAAGTAGAAACATTGTAGAGCAGTTACCGGAGATCTTAGCACGCCTCTGGCCCGTTGGGCCGGCGAATTCATCAGGTTTCGTGCCCCTCCCACCCCTCCAGGGAGGCCCCACCAGAGCGCAGACAAGAAGCAATGGAACCCCGTAACATCTTTATGTGGGGAACTCCGTTAGCATAATTTGTCAAAGGATTTGCTCGATTCTTGAAATCCGTAAGGGCTTCGCCCTGCCGCCTGCCCCCCCCTCTATCATAATGGGATCTAGCAGAGTCGCGTCGGAGCGTCTCGGCGCTTTCTTGGCGCATCTGGGAACATCATGCGGGGGCGGATAGGAATCGAAGACGCCTACGGCGAATCACCGCCGCCCCCTGCCTTCTAGAATCGCCCATGTGGCCGAGTGTTGTGGCAAGAGCTCTGCCAAGCTATCGGACCATGTGTTTCCCCAGCCGTTGTGGAAACCCTTCGGGGAGCACTTCGGAGAGGAGGTGGAGGAGGCGGAGGAGGAGGAGGAGGAGGAGGAGGAGGAGGAGGAGGAGGAGGAGGAGGAGGAGGAGGAGCAGGAGGAGGAGGAGGAGGAGGAGGAAGGAGGAGGAGGAGGAGGGGGCATCTTGTGAGCCTCTGGAGACACTGTCGGGGCCTCCTGGGAGCTTCCTGGGAGCCTCTTGGATGCATCTTTGGGGCCCTCTTGTAGGTCTCTTGGGGGCCTTCGGGGGCTTCTCGGGATTCTCTTTGGCCGTCTTGGTGGGCTCCTGGCCCGTTTGACGCCGTCGGAAGCCGTCTTGGGGGCCTCTCTGGGCCGACTTGGGGCCCTTTTGGGGTGCTCCAGGGCCGTCTTGGAGGCCATCTTGGGCGTCTTGGAGGCCTCTTGGGCCGTCTTGGTGGCCTTCTGGGTCCGTCTTGGGGGCCTCTCGGGCCGTCCTGGGGCCTCTTGGAGGCCTTTGGGGCGATCTTGGTGCGATCTTTGTGGGCTCTTGGGCCGTCTCGGGCAGTCGGAAGGTCGAAAAGAAGCACATACTAAAATCCTTCAAGAACCAAAGGCAAATCAATGATTTTTGCCTCTTCGGGCCTTCCTGGAGGCCCTCTTGGAGGCCTCTTGGGCCGTCTTGGGCCATCTTAGAGCCATCTTCGGCCGTCTTGGTGGGCTCCTGGTCCATCTGACGCCGTCGGAAGCCGTCTTGGGGGCTTCTCTGGGCCGACTTGGGGCCCTCTTGGGGTGCTCCAGGTCCGTCTGGGAGGCTTCCTTGGGCGTCTTAGGGGCCTCTTGGGCCGTCTTTGGGTCCTCTTGGGGCCGTCTTGGGGGCCTCTTGGGCCGTCCTGGGGCCATCTTGGAGACCTCTTGGGAGCTCTTGGGGCTATCTTTGTGGGCTCTTGGGCCGTCTTGGGCCGTCGGAAGGCCGAAAAAGAGCAAATGCGAAAATCCTTCAAAAACCTAAAGCAAATCAATGATTCTGGCCTCTTCGGCCCTTCCTGGAGGCCGTCTTGGACTCCTCTTGGGCCGTCTTCGAGGCCTCTCGGAGGCGTCTTGGGCCGTCTTGGGCCGTCTTGGAGGTTTCTTGGGCGAATTTGGGGGCATCTTGGACTCTCTTGGGCCGTCTTGGAGGCCACCATCTTGGGCGAACTTGGAGGCCATCTTGGGCCATCTTGGAAGCCATCTGGGGCCATCTGGGAGCCATCTGGAGCAGGAAAACCTTTTGGAACCACCTCCAGAAGAGCCTTTCGGGTCGCTGGCTGACGGGCTGGGCCGGAGCCCCAGGGGAGAGTTCTTTTGGAAAAAGAACCAGCACGCCAGGCACTCCTGTGACAAGCACAGGGGGCGGCGGATCGAAGACGCCTCCGGCGAATCACCGCCGCCCCCTGCCTTTTTGGAAGCGCCTGCGTGGCCGAAAGCTGGGTTTGAGCTTGGCCAAGGTACCAGGCCACGCGTTCCCCGAGTGGGTTGCGAAAGCTTTCGGCGAACACGGAGTCGGGCGAGCCATCGGACCAGGTGGTTTCCGAGCTTTCGGGTCTCTTGGAGGACGTCTTGGAGGGCTCTTGGGCCGTCTTGGAGGCCTCTTGCGGGCCTTTTGGGCAGTCTAAGGCCATCTTGAGGCCATCTGGAGCTGTCTTGGGTGAATCTTGGGGCCATCTTCGTTGTCTTGGAGGCCTTCTTGGCCGTCTTGGAGGCATCTTGGAGGCTATCTTAGCCGTCTTGGAGACCGCCATCTTCGGTGTCTTCGGGGCCATCTTGTGCCGCGTCTTGGGCTCTTCTTGGGGCCCTATTGTGGGCCTCTTGGGCTGTCATGGGGCCATCGAGGACGTCTTGGAGGGCTCTTGGGCCGTCTTGGAGGCCATCTTGAGCGCCTTGGAGGCTTCTTGGGCCGTCTTGGGGGCCTCTTGGGGCCGTGTCTTGGGCCTCTTGCGTGATCCTTGGGGGCACTTGGGCCGTCTCGGGCCGTCGGAAGGCCGAAAAAGAGCAAATGCCACAATCCTTCAAAAACCCATGGGAAATCACTGATTTTGGCCTTTTCGGGCCTTCCTGGAGGCCCTCTTGGAGGCCTCTTAGGCCGTCTTGGGCCATCTTAGGGCCATGTTCGGCCGTCTTGGTGGGCTCCTGGTCCGCCTGACGCCGTCGGAAGCCGTTTGGGGGGCCTCTATGGGCCGACTTGGGGCCCTCTGGGAATACTCCAGGGCCGTCTTGGAGGCCATCTTGGGCGTCTTAAAGGCCTCCTGTGCCGTCTTGGGGGCCTCTTGGGGCCGTCTTGGGGCCCTCTTGGGCCGTTCTGGGGCCATCTTGGAGGCCTCTTGGGCGATCTTTCGGCGATCTTTGTGGGCTCTTGGGCCGTCTCGGGCCGTCGGAAGGCCGAAGAGAAGCAAATGTCACAATCTGTCAAAAACCTAAAGCAAGTCAATGATTCTGGCCTCTTCTGGCCTTCCTGGAGGCCCTCTTGGGGGCCTCTTGGGCCGTCTTGGGCCAGCTTCGAGCCAACTTCGGCCATCTTGGTGGGTTCCTGGCACGTCTGACGCCGTCGGGAGCCGTCTTGGGGGCCTTTCTGGGCCGACTTGGGGCCCTGTTGCGGCGCTTCGGGGCCGTCTTGGAGGCCATCTTGGGCGTCTTAGAGGCCATCTTGGGCGTGTTGGAGGCCTCTTGGGCCGTCTTGGGGCCCTCTTGGGGCTGTCTTGGAGGCCTCTTGGGCCGTCATGGGGCCCTCTTGGGGGCCTCTTGGGCGATCTTGGGAGCCTCTTGGGCCGTCTTGGGCCGTCGGAAAGCCGAAGAGGCGCAAATGCCAGAATCCTTCAGAAACCTAAGGAAAATCAATGATTTTGGCCTCGTCGGGCCTTCCTGGAGGACCTCTTGGAGGCCTCTTGGGCCGTCTTGGAGGCCTCTTGGGGGCCTTTCTAGACCGTCTTAGACCATCTTGAGGCCATCTTGTGGCTGTCTGTGGA